TAATCATTAGCATAATGCCTAAATCATTCCTAAATCTGTCTCATACAGCATCAAATTGTTAAGTAATCACAAATAAATGAGTTTGTGTGATGACATACTCTTAGAAATCTACAAGAAATTAACAAAAATACATCATGTGACTAAAACAGTCTTAAAGCCTGAATTTTCTTTATACTGTTTTCTTGGGTGCACCAGTATGGGAACTGTGGGCCAATACCACTGTCTGATATTTTTCATTTTTCAAGTCATTTTGGGCCATTTGTTTTGGTCCGTCCATCATGAAATTTACACACAATTTAAAGGGCGACAGGCGTTTTCATATTGTGTCAAAAACTGAAAAACAAAAATGGAGATATGAGGTTTTCTTCCGACAACAGCAATATGCATTTGTGAAAGGTAGACATTGTGACTAGATCGTCAATTAGCAATACAGAGAAATGTCATATTTATTTGTAGAGGATCACAAATACAGTAACATGAATAAAACACAGACATTTTAGCTGTTACTTAACCATTCTCAACTTCCAAAATACAGTAAATGGTTCATCAAAAATTGGTTTGAATCATCTGTCAAATCTAAGCAACTATTCAGTGCTGATGCATATTTTAAACAATTAGCTGTCAATAGTGATATGATTCCATTCATTGTGCATCCATACTTTTGTCTAGACATTTCATAGATAACTGTAACTCCAACAGTGCCAGAAACACATATGATGCTCCAGTGCAAACTTCAACCTGTCTTGGCTGATTGACTACATTTGGGTCAAGGGGAAATTGTGTAAATTTGATCTTTTTGCCAAGCTATCACTTTAAGAGTCTTCCTCGGCAGCCTACTGGAGTCGGTACGATGCTCTGTCATCACGCCAGGATCCAGTCCACTCGTCCGCCCACTGCTGAGCGTGACGGTGGAAAACACAGTGAGGGAATTCCCCGATGGACAGAATTATCGGAGAGATTTAGGCCGTGAGTTAGCAGGGGAGTACGTGTGATTTGTAGATCAGCGCTTATGAGATATGAGTCAGCGAAGGGGTGGGAAGGGGGGTGTCTGATGTAGCCTTGCTTTTTAACATGGGGATTCTCCCCTCGGGATAAACTAATCCTCAAACCTTCAGACCCCAGAGAGCGCATACTTTATGGGCTTAGAAGCCTGAGGAAGAAACCTTTTAACTTGATTTCCGTAAAGGGGAAGTCCAAGCACGCCACTGTTCCCTCCTTTTCTCTTCCCTGGACACTCTCATGACCCCTGACCTCAGGGTCCTATGGCCTCACCAGGTGTGCGGTCATATAAGCAGCTGATTGTCCACACTAATACGGGTGCATTTGAAAATGGTTTTCATGTCATTGTTTTCCGTCCATATGTTTTTCCCTCATTTTCCTTCCACACTGAAACGCCAGAACTAAAGGAAATATGGCTATACTGAGCTTGTGTTCACTGCCTGAGCCAAGCAGATTATTGTGGTGCATAGAAAAGTAACAAAACCAAGTAAAAAAAAAAATTAGCAAATATTTAGCAGTAAATCACACAAAAACAACTACACATTACATCAGATCTTTCAGTATTTAGCGTCCACTCTTTTCCTTCATTACATTTATTTCAAGGTGCATGCTTTTAGTTTTCCTTTTTCCCACATCTCTAAAGTCCGGTTTAGAAGTTGGTTGCATTTTCTGCTTTTCACAGTCCGTGTAATCCCAAACATATTTAGTAAAGTTGAGATCTGAACTCTGAGATTTGATGTGCAAGTATTTGCTTCTTGACAGTTACACATCCTTTCAGACCCATAGTGGAAGAATTGACAGAAACACTTGTGGATTTTTTCTGGAGAGTGGAGCTTGATTTTCCTCTCAAAAATTCAAGCTTTGGTTGTCTAGCAGGTCTTAGGAGTTATTAGGAATCACATTTTCTCTGAAAGTTTTAATCCTTTTTTGAATTCCCATTTTGGAAATTGTGGAAACACTTTATTTGGAGTGGTCCTTTGTAGATGATTAACAAATTCTCAACAGATTATCAGTAACACATCAACTACATATCAGTGAAGTAGCAGTAGTGAAGCATCTGAAAACATTGAAGTAAATATCTTGTAGATGTTCTGTTTATACATTACTTACATTAAGTAGATGTATTGTTAAAATATCACTTCCATTACGCAAAACCTAACCCTAACCCTGGCCCTAATCCTAACCCTAATCTTAACCTCAACCCAAAACCTACTCCTGAAATTGTTGTTTTTTTCATTCATTTTCCTTTGACTGTCTCCTTCTTTGCACAAGTTAAATATCTTGCATGTAATCTCCCTATAAATATCTCATGAAAATCAGTAATATGTATTTAATTGTCATTTTTACTAGAAATTAAGTGAAGGGTGGTCTCTGACTTATGCACAGTGGCACATTAAAACAGAATTCATCTGATCATATGTGTGCACATCCAGAATTTTATTTTTATCAGATTTTAGAACCGGATCTATCTGTTATAAAAGATTACAGATTTGAGATCAGCACACTGGCACATAAAATTCTAGAGCGGTGGCGGCATTGTGTGTGTGTGTGTGTGTGTGTGTGTGTGTGTGTGTTTTAACTGTCTAAACTGTTTGTTTCCTGTGATGGGGAAGGACGGGAGACCTTGTGATCTTTCCCAGCATGCCTCCGTCCAGCCCTATCCGGGTTATTTACAGTTTAGCACCCAGTCCCTCCACACGTTAGCCTGGCAGACACAGCCTCTTTATTCTCTTATATGTGTTTTTCTCGCTATCGCTATAGCAGTACGCATTCCCTCCTCCCCCTCCTTCCTTCCTCTTTTCCAACTTTCTCCTGTCAATCGCTCAAACTCCCCTCTTTTCTCTCACTCTGACTTCATCCCTCGCTTATTTTCCCTCCGCCTTCTCATCTCTCCCCTTTCTCACTCTTTTTTTTTCGCTATTCATCATCTGTTTGTTTTGTTTTCGGAGAGGTACGCGATTGCTTCACGAAGAAAAACATCGTTTTGGACGACTGTCGGCCGCGCTCCGAGATTGTGAGTCGGAGTTTGCTGACTGTTCCCCCGAAAAACAAATGATATCATATCCAGGTGTTTTCTTTTTTTCCTCCCACTCATGGAGTTCATGGCCTGCAGCACATTATTTTTTTTTAACTTGAAACAAAATTAAATGAAATAGTAACAACATCCTGCTTTTAAAGGTGCCTCTTTTACTTTTGGGTAAGGAGAAACTTGGACACCTGTGACATTGTAGACCCCTCATGATGAAGAAGGCTCTTACGCTGACTGATACTTCTAAATTACTGTATCCGGACATTACACACCATTTGATAACCTCAGCCACCTTTTACAATGTGTGAAAATTTATGATGAGTAGACCAAAAGAGATTATCCAAAAACATTTAGAATAAAATCTTCATCTTACTCATTTTTCAGTGTTAGGAAAAAAGCAGAAAATGTATATTTAACAGAAAATTACACAGAAGTCAAACAACTAAATATAATACCGCTTTTTCAGTATTTAACTTCGTGGCCCTTCGCTTTCAGTTTTCCAAAGAAATCTGCAGGGATATTTTTCCACACCTCCGAAGTTCAGTCTTAGAACTTGGTTGCATTTTCTGCTTCTCATCAAGTAATCCCAAACACATTCAGTGATGTTAAGGTCTGGGTTCTTGTTGGATTTGTAAATTTCCATTTCTCAGTAATGGCTTCTTGACAGCTGCACATTCATTCAGACCCATAGTGTTGAATCGTCTTCTCACAGTGGAAGGATGGACAGAAACACCTGTGGAACTTTTCAGATCTGAAACAAGAGTGGAGCTTGATTTTCTCCTTTCTTCTTAAAGATAAAAGCTTTAAGTACTATTTATCTGATGGAGACAGTTTGGTGGTCTTTCAGGTCCTGCATGATTTCTCTGTGTCGTTTAATAATTTACTCTGTGTCGTTTAATAATTTTTTGAACTTCCGTTTTGGAAACTTCTCTTTTGACTTATTCCCTTCGTCCTTCTTCAAGTGGATTGTCTTATATCTAATCTCCTCTGGAATATCTCCTGAAAAATGAAGTACTTGATTGGGAATTAAATAAATGATGAGTTGTCTTAGATTATTGCACATTACTGTACATTAAAGTTAAGAATGCTTTTTTCTTTCTCGTATATAGTGACCATTTTAGAGATATGAGGTTTTATTAAGATGATTTCTTTAATAGTACACAGCCTAGGTTAGGACTAAAGGAAAAAGCCTATAAAAGTATTTGTGTGTGCGTGCGTGCTGTTTCCCCCTCCTGTTTATCCCAAAACAATTGCACAACACTTGATTGTTACACACTCCCTCACCACCACCCAAACACACACAGGCACAATACTACAGTACACCGAAAGGTCTGCCGCCGGCCCTTTCATGTACTCAAATTATTTTTATTTTCACGTTAGAGGAAATCAAGTTTATACGCCTAGTGAAAAGTGTTTCTTTGGGTGGAAATCCACTATTGTGGAGCGTTTCCTTAGAGGGGCCGTCGTAAAAAAAACCCAGAGGAGCGGCGAAAAAATGCTCCTCACTCAAAATGGGAAAATAATCAACTATCTGGTGGCTGGATTTTGATGTGGCTGTTTGTTTATATGAAGTCATGCTTGGCCGGGACGTCCTCGCTGGCTGCCTGGTGCCGAAGTGACCTCTGTGTTTGTGTGTGTTGTCAGGCAGTGGTGGCTGTAGCACTAACACACGCTGCACACGCCCTGATCCGTCTCTGCGGCGGGCCTACAAAGAGCGTGTGTGTGTGTGTGTATGAGCAGACTCATGGCTAGTAGCATATGGTTTAGTGGCAGATGCCTCAGCATGTTGGCAGATTTCTCTCTAAGCCCTTGGGTATACTCACAATGAGCTCTTCTTCTGGGTAGAGTTACAAGTGCGGTTTTTGAGTTTACATTCGTATGAGGTCTTATCACATTCATATCCCATCGCCTCATTGAACTGCTTTTCTTTTCTCTCTCTCTCTCTGTTGCTCTCTGTCTCTCTCTCTCTCAGGCACCTCAACAATGAGCATGCCCTTGATGACCGCAGTACGGCCCAGTGTCGGGTGCAGATGCAGGTCGTTCAGCAGCTGGAGATCCAGGTGAGATATACATGTCGTGATTAATCGATTAATCAACTTGGGGGGGGGGGCTAAAATCGACTAAAAACGATCTTAGTGATAAACCTGAAATGACAAGTTAGCAGTTTGCTTGCTGAGAATTTCAGTTCTCCTACAGATGTACACATTAATTTATTTGCATTTACCCCACATTGTATTTTTACATTTGAAGGGTTTCATTGCAAATAGCAGCGTAAACCTCATTGAGATTTTTTTTGTGATAAACATTGTTGGGAATGGGCTCTACACACAGAAAATATCAACACTATGTTATGTTTACTATCACATTTATTAGAGAAATGAAAAAAAATTCAATGAAAGAGAGCTGTTTTTCTTTTCGCAGACTCAGTATAGACAAAATTGTTACAAATGCATATCCTACATTTCTTTTTGTATTTTATATTTTCCCTGGCACCTACTAGTGGCGTTTGTGAGGATTTATGTACCAAGAACATGAATTCAAAGTTCATTTTTACATTGCCTTTTTTCTAACTTCTCTTTATCCCTTAGTAAGAGGGAGACTGGTTTTGTTACTGTGCCTTTAAGACTGTTGTATGTAATTGATCTATGCTCTAATTGACTGCCTTGTATTGTGCCTCATTCAACCAGGATTCGAGGTTGAAACACTCCTTATAACTTCAGGTGCCGTGGATGAAGCTAAACTGCTGTAGACTGTATATGTTAATGTGTTGGTTTTGGTGACGTCACAAACACATTAAAAATGGGTTGTTGTTGCGGCTTAGTGTTCATGTATAAACTGTATGCTCTTAGGAGTTAATGGTAAATTTCGAAACAGTATTTACATGTTACATCAAACTCTTTTATGTTAGAAAATATAATGGCTCTTTAAAGCCATATCTTCCTTTAAAGTGTCAATCACCAGAATAATCAATAGCTTACTTAATTGATTACTAATAAAATGATATAATTAATAGTGCATTTACACATACACATAAAATTTTTATCTCTTTCTCTAACAGAGAATGAGCAAATCAGCTCAAAACAATTCAGAGTATAGAATATTAAGTGTCTAATGAAGGTGTTAATGCATAGTGTTTTAAACAGTTGGAGAAAAAGACTTTCATTTCAAGAAGAGTGCCATAGACATTCACTTCTGAACATGAGCAATTGGTCCTGTGCTAGACAGCCTTTTAAAAGTGATCCAACAAAGGTCTCCAGCCATCTTCACTGTCTTTGGTATTATTTACAGCCCACAGCATTGAAATCCACCTCTAAAATATCACTTTGTATAACATCAAAGGGCAAAAACAATCCCCCCCACTTGCTTCCAGCATTGTACTCTGCCAAACAAAGATGCTACCTCCGAGTCAATTTGGCTGCTAATACGCATCCGTCTAGCCATCACTCAAGCGTTTAGCGTGCATCAAAGCGTTTAAGCTAACCTCGCTGTTGGGGAATGGTGAAGATAGCACTGGAATCTAGTGTCTGACCGCGTGATCAGGCTGGACACTGATGATGTCTGGGCAGTGGCCCACGCTGACAAGCCATCGGTCAGCCGCATTAGGTCGCATTAGGAAAAAAGGCCTACTGGCTGTAGGAAATGGAGTCTGGGAGAAGACCACACACACATACACACACATGCTCTTGCACACTTTAATGCACAGTGACACGAGTGAGGTAACCTGTCAGTGCCCGAAGCCTGGACTTTCCTCTCCTTTAAAGCTGTAAAATAAGCAGCGAGACGTAGCCCTTTGAGTTGTGTTTACACTCTGACGGGCCGCTTCAGGCCTTCCAGCCTCAAATAACACACACCAAGACCCCTGTCTACACACGTTCACCCAGCCTGCCAAACGGCCCCGAAAACTGGGACGCTTCTTCCATCTCTCACGCCTCATGCCTGTCTTTCTCGTCCGATCCCAAAAATAACCTCTTCACCAGCAAAGCTCTCCCGGCAAAGGCTACCCTTCAAAAACAGTTTGGTTGCAGATAATTCTGCTGGGTTGAAACTCATTTTAATCTAAGGATAAAAGAATTCTATAGAACAGATTCTATGATTCTAAGGAAAAATTTTAGATGATTCTGAGGTAAAAGCTCCATGGCAAAGGGAATAAAGTTGTATTAAAATTAAACGGGCAGAACGCATAGTATTTCAAAAGTGGTGACAATTAGAGTGCATTATTTAGCATTTAATAACTTCTGGTGATGGATGTAAATCTCTGACATCACAACTATTCATCTTAATTCTAATTCTTCAAGAAATAATTCAGTCAATCATAAAATTTCTAATTTCTGGATCTTGAAATATTTGCAGAGTAGTGGAGTATAAACAATAAAAACAACACAGACTTTTTAAAAGAATATTAGAATAAGCCAAAAATATGAGCCAAAAAATTTGTGCATCCTTCATTGTATATAATAATCAACTATCATAATAGCAGCCTGTTATAAGCATTAGTACACCCCTTTTGATCTCAGAAAAACTTAAAATATTCAGTAAAATATCTAACAAATACATACATCTTGGCATCTAGTTGTAATGTGTAAGTCTATATAGGTTATTATTATATAACAAATGATTCCAAACTTTTGAATAGTAGTGCGGCTCCTTCATCCTGCTTTCATAGGGAGATGTTAAACAATGCAAGGGGCAGCCCCCGTCATACCACATTTCCCTACTTCTCATTGACCACCCCCCCGCAATACTGGTCCTCCTGCCAAGTGCCAGGCCAACCCAGGCCATCCCAGACTAGCCATGCCTGCCTGCCCACTCGCTGGGTGCTCATAAGCTCACTTTTTCCACTGCTTTGTTAAGCGGCTGACCAGTGCCGACCGCTGCCTTATTAAACACAGATCAGCTAATGGGCAAATAAACAGGCCGGAGGGTGGCGGGCAGCTAGCAGCAGCGGGCACCACAGCAGAACACAAACATGCAGAGAGTGGAAAACAGAGGGGGGGAAATTGGCCTTGAACAAGAGTTTAACAGCAGGGACCTTTTTCAGCAGAAATAGTATTGTACTTGATGGCCTGTGCAGTAAGCAAAATGTATTATTTAGATTTTGCAAATCAGATTATTTCAATTATGTGAGGCATAATAGTTTTGGTGTAATTATCATTTTACCACAAGTCAGATTAGGGCTGTTAAATCATGAAATGTCTTTTCTTGTTCATTGTAGTTGAAATCATTATTAGGCAAGTGAATGGTCACTGTTGCCTTTTTATTTATGTGTTATAACAGCCTATTTATGATTTTGTGGTGTTCATGATCCAACTGAAAACCATTATTAGGCATTACCCACACTGTCTTGGTCCTTTTTTAATATTTTGTCTTAGAAAAATTATACTGCCACTGTCACCCTCAGGTTTTTTTGGTCTGGACCTTTATTTCTCTAAAGCTGCTTTGTGCCAGTGTTTGCTGTAATAAGAGCCATATAAATAACTGCCGTAGCTCTTGCTACAGCTTTGAGCTGAAGGCACCACTAACACTGCGACACACTGTAAATAGAGTTCACCAGAGTCATACAGAGATGAGTACAGCTGCAAGTCAAGTATCAGAGAGAGAGAGAAAGAGAGAGCGAGGGAAAGGCTCGTTTCCAGCCGTGGGTAACCGGAGCTGAGAGATGATGTGTGAGGGTCCCATTGAGCTTACTGACGCGACAGAAATTGAGAATTACGCTCTTAGGATGATGTCCGGAATCTCCTTCTTCCTCTCTGGCTCTCTCACCTTTTCTCTCACACGTTCTCTCATTTCTTCTTATGCACATCTGCTTCTCTGCACAATTTGAAGGGCCCATATCATGGAAAACCAAATGTCAGCCTGTGTTTATGAAGCAAGAGTTTGACATGCTGTGTGAACATTTGTTAAAATTTCACTACCCAGTCCATACAGCACATACCACTCTGCAGTTTTGAATTCATTATAGCTGTGACATCACAACTATAAGCACATTTCCATGTAGCCTGCAGCTGTATGGCCTGTCCCTTCATGTTGAAGTGATAAATAGTGTTGTTACTGCTCATTTCAGTCAAGACTCCTTTTGAATGAGGCACAATAGAGCTGACCATCTTAAAAGTATCAAAAACAGCCTGTTTAATTCTGAGAGATAAAGAGAAGTTGGAAAAATCATGTGAATGTAAAATGAACTGTGACTGTATTTGGTACATAGATCCACTCTAGTGCTGTAAGTGGACTTCATGCGGAAAATAAAACACATACAGAAGAAAAACATAGACTCTGGGCCCCTTTAAAAAACTCCCACCTTAAGCATGGACCCATCTACAGTATTTGTTGGGCTGATTCCTGATTTCCTATTGATAGGATTGGCCCATTTTGATCCGCAAATATATGTGAACCGTAAGAAAATATATAAAATATAGAGTGGACATGTGATGTATGTGTTCACAATCAGAATAGATCAACTTGTATCCCTTATCTCTCTCTTATCTCACTCTCTTGCACACAGAGAGTGCAAGTAAAGTTTGAGGTGACCTTGGTGAGTTGCCCAAGCCTATATATACGCACATACACTCCTTATGTACACTGCAAAACAATATAGCGCACAAGAGGCCTCTTTTAAACCCGTGGAGAGTGTTTTAAGCCGGTAGGGTGAGGCTTTGCTGGAGGCAATAACAAACCCTCATGCTCAGAGACAGAAAATGCCCTGTGGTCAAGCACTGTCTCCTTTTTAACACTTAAAGCATCTTAGCTGAGTAAACACTGATATATTTGTGTTGTGGCATTAGTAATGTGTGGGTACTTACGTGTATATTTCTGTGTTTGCTTGCAGCTGGCCAAGGAGAGCGAGCGTCTGCAGGCCATGATGACCCACCTGCACATGCGTCCATCAGAGCCAAAGCCTTTCAACCAACCTGTGAGTTCATGCCCTTTGACCCCAGTGTGCCTGCTGGGGTTTTTCTATTTTTTTTCTGCATTTGTTTTCATGTCCATTTTTAATGCATAAATTATAACAGCCCATAGTGGTGCCACAGGTTAGGTTTATCTGTAGTCAGAAGAGCGCACTCTGTTGGCTTGTGGAGAAGCTGCCACAGTCGTTCACCCTCTGCAGCTGTAAAACGTTTATTTGTTTCTCGAGAGCGGTGGAGGAAAACACCCAGGCCGATCTGTTATGCGCTACAGTATGCTGTAACTGTTTACCAATTATCCAACTACACATGTTTTCTTGAGTAATTAATCATGTGTCCAAACAAACCTCTCCAATCCAGTTTAAACATGAGCTCGGTGTGAGAGTTAGACTCTTAAAGATACACAAATCAGTTACAGTTGGACTAGTGTCTGCCTCTTCAAAACTAAATGGATCAAATGTGGCTATGTGTATGTTTCTGCTTGTGTGTACTATGTGTTAGTGTGGATCTGTGAGAAACAGGGAGGAAAAGTGAAAAAAGAGAGAATAGCGTACCTTCATAGTTAATGCAGAGCCTTAATTTTCAGGCATTGGATTTTTTTTTTTCCCACAGCTGCCAACCCCAGCACGCAATTATTAGGTATCTAATGAATATTTCATGGCAAGATTGATGAGGAGTCTTATTAAAATATGAAGATGTTGAAATTAATTGTCAATTAGAAGTGGAGTGTCTTAATTCGGGGGAGGGATATAAATGGCGACAGAGGAAGGGGGACGGGGGACGGGTAAAGTAGGCCGCGTCTCATGTTTGGTGACAAATTCACTGGATTGGCTGCCATTACACGCTAATGGGGAGCGCAGCCCAGGCATGACCCTTACGGCCTAGAAAGAGAGACGTAGACAGGGGGGTGGGGGCAGGAAGAGAGAGGGGGTGAAAAGGAGTCAGAGCAGGAGAGAAAGAGAGTAAAGGATAGAGAAAGAAGAGGGGTAGGGAGAAAGAAAGGGAGAGAGAGAAGGAAGAAAACAGAGCTAAAGGGAGAGAGAAGGATGGATAGACACAGTGAGAGAAGGAGAGATAGAGAGAGAAATTTAAGTAAGGAATGAGAGAGAATGAGGAAACGAAAGAGAGAGAGAGCTAGAGAGAAGGAGAAAGACAGAGGTGCCCTGAGCTAGCGTTAGCGGGTGTCACCGGTAGGCGGAGCTTAGCATCTGCCTTCAGTCTTGGCTCTTCGGCGGGCACTGTAGCAAGCTGGCACGGCTCCAGCGTTAATTAAGTACCTGTTAAACAATTTTGCCCCCTAATTACTGGAGATGGGCCAGGTTGGCTCCTCTGGCGATGAGAGGGGTGAGAAAAAAAAAGGGGGCCGCACCAGTTTAATTCGCTATATTAGCTTCAAACCCACCGCTACGCTGTCCTCCCGCACCCTCGCAACCCCCCTTTTCTCCGTTTGCGCGTGCTCATGATGGTTTTAATTAGAGCAAAACAAGCAACCCTGGAAAAGCCTCCCTCAGCGGCTAAAGGGGGTTGAGTTGGTGGGGGGGAGGCTTGAGGGGACAGTTCCCAGCGCTCCTCACCGTGCCCGCTAAAGCTAATTGGGCAATGGCGAAGGCCCCCAAGAGGGCGGCTAACCACAGCCGGCTTTGGCACACGCTGTTTGTTGCCAGATTGTATTCTTTCTCCCCCTCCTCCATTGTATTGTTTTGTTTTCGCTCCTTTTTGCATGACTCTAATTGCAGCCTATATGCCGCTAAGGAGCTTTTTGTGTATGCGCACAAGTGTGTGTCAAAGACGCACAGGGGGCTTTGTTTGAATTCCGCCGGCTGAGTGGGATCGTCTCTGATAATAGAGTTGGCGTGCCAGCCCGTCCTGGCACGGATCGTGCTCCTCTCAGCATGGGAGGGATAGCAAATTGACAGCGATTATGCTCCCCGTAACGCTGTAATGAGTAAGGCTGCAGATTACTGTAAAGCACGGATGGGGACGCAGCGTTAGAATCACAGTGTAATCAAATGAACTTCGTTCACTAAGTCATGTCACCAGCTTCCTGTCAGTGTCAACGTTTAGAGGAGGAAGTTAGCAACTTCTGGTGAGAGGAAGAAGTTTCCTGGTGAATCTAAATCCACAGATTAGATTTATGCAGATTAATAGATTTAAACCTTAGAAGTCGAGTCATTGCTGTCATTTTACTGCTCTATTTAAATGTGAATGTGTAATTATGTAATTAATTCCACTTTGTTATGTAATGAACTATATTTATGCTCGATTGCACTGACTTTTTTCTGTTGGTTTTGATGTCAAAAATGACAGAAATGCGGCAAATATATAAAGAATGGGTTCCTGGACAGAAAACTGATCCCTAACCTTAATTGCAGCATCTTAATTCTCTCTCTCTCTCCTTCTCTTTCTCTATAGCTGAATCTGGCCTCCAGTGGTTCTCTGTTGAAGCGGGACAGTGAGGGTTTCCCTGAGGGTTTGCCTCATCCTCCCACCTCAGCAGCAACCCCCATCACTCCCCTGAGGCAGGGCCCCTCCGTCATCAGCTCCTCCAGCCTGCACGGGGTTGGGCCCATCCGCCGACGCAACTCCGACAAGTTCTGCACCCCCATCGCATCGGGTCAGCACCCTAAAACATTTACTAGTGTACAGTGTTTGTATCTGTGAACGTTGTGTGTGGGGGCAGGCTTTAGTTCCTCATTCTCATATTACTTTCATAGGAGATACCAAATCATTTATAGTAGTAATAAGCCTTAAGATTAATAACAGAATAATAAGCCTGCAGCTTTAGGGGGTTCAATGAGTTTTAATTGAATCTTGTTTTGTGTGTCTTGCAGAGCTTGCACAGAATTGTGAATTCTACAAAAACGCAGATGTCAGACCTCCGTTTACATATGCCTCCCTTATACGGCATGTAAGTCACCTACCTCTAACTGTGTGTGAGAGAGAGTCAGAGACATCGGGATATTTGACTTAGATCTTATGTTGTGTGCTGGCACCCTTCTGCAACTGTGTGTGTGTATGCCTATACATGAGCGAGAGTGTGTGTGTTCATAACTGAGGATTTATGATGATTCCTGAACGTTCTGAGTGTTGGCCATGCTGAAATGCTCCTCTAGTCACAGCACACTGCCTGTAGATGGCTCATCAGCTAATGTGCCTCTAATAGCAGCCATTTAAAATCACCTCTCTCTCTCTGTCTCTCTCTGTCTCTCTCTTTCTCTCTTTCTCTCTCTCTCTCTCTCTCTCTCTAGGCCATTCTGGAATCTCCTGATCGACAGTTGACTCTTAACGAAATCTACAACTGGTTTACGAGAATGTTTGCGTATTTCAGGAGAAATACGGCAACATGGAAGGTAAATGCTTCTTATTCTATCAAGAAACATAAACCTACGAAGTATGAAACCTAAAAGTGTACTCCAGCATTTTTAACCTAATCTCAGTATGCCACATCTGTAGCATACAAATAGTTACCACAGACAATCATTTTGATGATTCAGACACTCACAATTGAAGCTAATGGGCAGGTGCTGTACAACACAGATGAGTCAGGTAGAGATTAGGTTGACAAACACTTAAGTATTCCTTCAAGGCCAATTTTGTTTTCAACTGCTCCACTAGTCAGCTTTCTCCTTGGCCTGCTGGCAAATTCAGCTGAAGACAGCAGCTGTCAATCAGGTTTGTTTTTTGTTTTTTTTTGGTTTTTCCTTCGTGCATCCGCTTTATTGGGTGAACACCTTTGCTGTAAAGCTAAGTGTCTGTCTCCCCTGTGCAACCCTGCTGTGGATAAAATGCAGACACAGTGAGTTAGCCCATTGTTCTGCCTGATGCAAACAGCAGTAAATTCTGCCGTGGTGCCAAGGGCCACTGCAGGTCCAGCCACAATACCGTCCAGCAGAACGCTTTGATAACGCAGAGCTGTAATTAATGATGCCAGGGCTGTCCCAGCCGGCCAGGACGTGACCCCCAGCCGCTCAGACCCCCCTTTCTTTTTCCATTCTTTCTATCACCCTCTCTCACAGTGTCCCGATTTGCCCTCTCCATTGTCTCCCATGCGACTGTGGGAGAGAAAGCTGTGTGATGTTTGGCCAAGCAGGCAGACTAGTGTTTGATAGAGGAGAGAGAGGAATGGACTGGTCAGCCGCTTGGTGTTCGGACAATTGTTTGTTGGCCCTGTAGACATGCTGGATCTGATGATGAAGGAGCTGGGACAGGCTTTAGCAGGACTGGTCACCAGTCCTAGCACTTGAGTACCCCACTCCCATTGTAACTTTAAGATTCCTTGCTGGTGAGCTGTTAGTTGAATAAGGCAGGATTTCACAAAGAAAGATATCTTAGATAGCTGAATAATTTAAGCCTCAATAAACTTATCCATGCTCCACCCATAAACCAGCTATGTTTTAGCACCTGTTGTGAGGTTGGACAAGCTTTACAGAACTGTTCAACCTATGTGATGTCTCTAAACAAAGATCATTCTGTAAAGCTTGTCCAAACTCGCAATGGTAGCTACAAAAGAATGCATTTAGCATGGATAGATTAATTAAAGTTTGTCCAGTAGGAAAGTACCTTACTTGACCTCCTGCAGGACTTGAATCTTTACCTAAGCTGTCTGGCTAACCAAGAAATGAGCTAGAAAGAAGCTAAACCAGGAAAAACACTCAAATGCGCAGGACAGGGGTACTCTAGTGTCAGGACTGGTACAAGACAGGAGATACTGAGCCATACTCTTTGAGCAATAAGAGTAAAATGTTCAGAATATGAAAACATCTTTCCAAGTTTCTTGAATTGTACATTCTTTATGCGCTATGATTATGCATGAGCCTTTCTCTCGTGGAGTCAAACTGTTCCTGCTGGCTGTGTGTACACACACACACACACACACACACACACTCACACTCGTGTTCTGTGGCTTTGTTTTATCAGACCACAGGCACGTAGCAGTGCAATGCTGCGCTCCCCTTATCTGCTGCTTTAATTTGGCCCGCTTGATTAGGCCGCGCCCCGCTGCTCCACTGCCCTGCTCTATCTCAGCTCTGCATCTCAGGCCCACCTCCAGCCCGCCTTGCTCAGCTTGAGTTCCCCCACCAGGAACCCAGACCACCTCTGGCCACGGAGCCTGACTACATCTGCCACTGCTGACTAGACCACCGGACTCCCACCTGTGTGTGTTTACCTCTGAGCTTTGATGTCCAGTCGCCTGCTACAGGCGCATGCGGTTCGCTTACTGTGCCACCTGCAGCGCAGGGGAGCTGATACTGGAAAGCAATAGAACGCTCATCCGTTTCGTCTTTGTCTCTCTCTCTATCTGTCTGTCTTTCTCCTCCCAACAGTTTTCCACACTGCCTTTCTCTATAGATTTGCTGCAACTCATGATCAGTAATTAGTACATTAGTACTGGACTACTGTTTGAAAGTTTGCAAATAAATGCATGAAATCATTCTAACATACTGGTCTTGTGCAGCTGCAAATTTCAAGTTATTAGTAGAACTCTAACAACCAAAATAAATTAAGTTAAGAAATGTGTGATGAACTGAGATGTAGATGATTCTAAACTGGCAGAGAAAGCTGTATAGCATCAAGAATGAAATAAAATTAACATCCAGAATGCCTCGTAAGCAACTTTACAAATAATATTGTAAATACCTAATTAGTTTATTTTTATCATTTAATATTTTTTATAGTTCCCAATCACTTGCAATATTGCATAAAGCATCTAAAAATACACAAAAACTGTGTAATATTTAAATCTAAATTGCATGTTATTGTTCTATGAAACGTAAAAAAAACGATATGATTCCAAAGTGATTCCAAGCTTTTAAATTGATAATGTATGTCGACAAGTTTCCTTCTCTTTCATTCTCAGTCAGTGCGGCTACTAAAAGCTCTGGAGTTGTGGTTTAGTTCAGTGCAGTCAGTGTGGTCATTAGAGGTCATTAAGGGTGTACTCTGGCTCCATAACCCTCACATGCACCATCACTGCTCTTTCTCGGCCTGACCAGTCATTAAAACTGCTCTGCTCTCGTCTCACACGCACAGACACGGATGTGTTAATGTCCCCCTGTTCCTCATGCCTCCTTAGCAAAAGTGTCTCAGGTGCCATCTGGAGTGGAGCTTAGTCCAGCATAGTCCACCCAGACTTGGCCTCATGCTAATTTGCCTGAGCCTGAGCCTCTGGAGAGGGAGAGAGAGAGAGCAAAGAGGGGGTGGAGGGGGGAGAAAAGGTGTGAGCCAATGACCTCACCACACTTTAATGCCCAAAAGCAGTTCGGAGAGGTTAAAGATGGAGGGAGAAGAGAAGAGGAGGTGGCAGGAATGTCTTTAATAACTCATTTTATTTTTATGAAATTTAACAATTAATGGATATATCCTCACTTCTTCCTCTCCTTTTCCACCACCTTTCTCTCTCTACTTGCCTCTCTTGATCTCCCTCTCTTTTTTTAATACGTCCCCACACTCGCTCCCTCTCTCTTGCCAGTCGTTTGGCCGCGGTATTAAATATAGAAATGGCGATCTGTGTTCTCCGGCGCTCTTAATGGCCATCCATATTTCATAGAAAGTCTTAGCTAGAGAGCAGGGGGAAGTCATTGATCAGTCGGAGGCTGTCTCTTGGGCATAAGATGGACACTGCCTGGAACCGTGATCCACCACCATTTATCTTAATGCTTCTTTCTGTAGCGCACACTCCTGCAGTGTGTTTGCTTGAGGAGAGCTGTTTGATGTCAGTTGACGGTGAGGCCCGCAGTTCAACTTTGCTTTTGCGGGTTCCAGTTCTAGTCTAGTCGTCCTTGTTTTTATAAATGGGGGAACAACTGTTAATAATAGTCAAGTCAAAAAGAAATTTGTCATCCCATCCGTATTTAAGTATACACTGGAACGAAACAATGTTCTGGCCTCAACGCGACACGCAATTATTTACTGGACCATACAGAACAAGAAGTGATCAAGGCATACAGAGAAATAAAGGTGTCAAATAAGTTTTTTTCAGTGGACGTTTCTTTTAAAACTTTTTATGTGAGAGTGAGGAACCTTTTCAAAGATCAAAGAATCTAAAGGCCTATACAAGTTAGAGCTTTCTCCTGGAACTGTAGATCCAAGAACCATTTTGGAGGAGCATAGACTAGTCAAATTACAATGCAGTAAGTACACACCAGTGCTAAACGAGCCTCAAAGCCGTACAATTAACATGTTAAACAAGACATAGGAGGATAAAATGACGTCTGACATCTATTCGTATTCTCTGAATGGTGTAAGTTGGCTATGTTATATGCTTTTGCTATGAAGCATCTGCCTATATAAGCACATTATTATAAACTCTGCTTGGCAGCTCTTAATCCTGCTGTTGTGACTGCTCCTCTGGAGTGTTTTCAGTATTTAGCCTCCGTTAGTCCCTGCTTTAGCGCTGAGCCATGCGTAATTTAATGGCTGTTGTGCTGAAGATGAGTGCTTAGCCTTGTGTCTTCGCTAAGCTATCCAGTATTTAAGCCCATTATAGTGACTTGTGTTCCTGAGTGTTAAATGGATGGAGAGCGTTTAGCTGTATGTCTGAGCGGTGTTTAAAATGGCTGTGCTTTAGCTCCTTCGCCGCCGGTTCGTTAATATGGCCACAGGAAGACGAATAGCCACAGCACTAAAATGGCGGCTAGCCTCTTTGTGTGGGCACCGCCACTCGAGTAGACAAGACCCATTTGACACACACGTCACGAGTTCCATCTTTTCTAATATCTCTGCCCCTCTCCAGAGCACCCACCCCGTCATCGCGCTCCACACGCTCACACACACACAGCCAGCGAGGCATTTTGTTTATGTCTGCCAAGGCTGACCCCCTTTAAATTGCTGCTAATGTTTTAACTGGGAGAATTAGTCTTTCATCACGGATGGGAATGCAAATAAAATTGGCGAGGTGGCAGGCTGAAATTGGGGTCATACTAATTTGCAAAACTAAGCATCATCGCTCCTGCATGGGGGAAATTTATTCAAAGGAGGGAGGCCTCGTCTGATTATGGCACTTGTAATTACGGTTAGGAGTGATTCCGGCATCAGCAGCAGTCCCTCCCTCATGGATTAGAGCAGCGTGTCAGAAAAAATACACAGGATTTAATTATACACGAATTAAAATTGGTAATGAAATTGGGCATGAACAAACTACAAATAGCAGATGAAAAGAAAGGGGCTTCCCTTGGGGGTGTTATTCTAGATAGTGGCTGATTAGTGAAATTTAAAAAAAAAAAATAGGGGGCTCACTAGAGGGGGGAGGATGGAGCGCATCTTTTTCTTATTTTTAGTGTTGAAGATAGAGAGCTTTTTTTTTTTTGCCTCCTACTGTTTTGATGGTATGGCACCCCAGTGTCACTACCCCTTGGTGGAATGTGCACTTAATTGGTGCTGTGTGTGTGTGGTGTTGGTGGTGGTGGAAGGCATAAGTGTGTGTAATCACGTGGGTGTGTGTATGCAGGGAGGAATATGAGATGGGGAGATAAACTCAACCCACACATCCCTCTCTGAACTCAACTGTTCAATCTCTTTTTGTGCTTATCGCCACATCCAGGCTTTTAATTAGAAGGCAGGTATACGATTTATACTCCTATTAAAGACTGTTTATATGAGGCCGTACTGTAATTGCATTTCCAGTAATGTCATGTGACCAGCTCTGTTTGTGCCATTTTCTCTCTCTCTCTGTCTTTCTCTTTTTCTCTCTCTTTCTTCTTCTTTCTTGTTCTATCCCGGTCGCTCCTGCTTTCTCTCATTCTTTACAGTAATATTTGATACAAATATTGAAATTGAATTTGTTACCATTAATGAACCGTCGGAACATGCTTTCGAACTCCAGACAGATGTAGCTGTCCTACAATTACATTTTTCCTCACATGCACTTGTTAATCTCTCCCCTTCTCTTTCTCTCTCTCTTACCCAGAATGCCGTGCGCCATAACCTGAGCCTCCACAAGTGCTTCGTGCGAGTGGAGAATGTCAAGGGTGCCGTTTGGACTGTGGATGAAGTGGAATACCAAAAGAGGAGACCACCAAAGATGACCGGGTAGGTAGACCCCTCACCCTTTCTGCGCCAGTCTAGAACTGCAGCCAAAGACAACGCTCCAGTGCTTTCTTTCTGAAGTAGAAGCAGAAGTTTGGGTGGTTTTCAGTCCCATCTCTTTGCTGCCATCTCCCTTATTATAAAAAAAAAAAAACAACTGAATTGACTCGATTCAAATTTGAATATTATTTCCACATGAATAATATGCATTACATCAACACTTTTTTTCCAAAAGTAAGTAAACCTGAAAGCAAATGTGTTGATGTGTTAGATTTTATTAATTTGAACAGGGTGTACATGGTTTAATCAGTGGATTCTCTGCTTTCAGTTTTTTTCATTGTAGTTCCTTGCTGTGTCCTGGTATATGAGTTTAGAATTACATTTGATAGCTGATGTCACTGGAATGCCATGAGCAGAATGGCATGATGCCAAGTATCAATGGCACAGTGGCATGATGCCAGTCTTTTGAAATCCAATCACAGTGCAACATTCTTCAACACAGGTGGTTCCCAATACAAATTCCATCCTGTTAACTCTAATAAGTTGAGAGTTATCATAGGAATTTCTTTTTGCCGTATTGTTCAAATGAAATTACCTAATGAAATACATAGTTATGTATGTACATCTATGTATGTATACATAGCAGAACTACATAGCTATGCAGTTAATTTCATTTACATTCAACTTGCATTCTGTATCAACAGTCTGTGCTATTTGTTCTAAAGGCAAGCAACAACAAAAACATTTTTTTTTGGCAAAATAACTTTTCATCAATTTTTCTTCTTCTGCTACGAAACATATACACTAGCATTCGAAAGTTTGAAATCACTGTTTTCAATAATATTTTCAGAATGATGAACAGAGCTGAGAACGAATAAGAGTGCCTTATAACATTGAGAATAAAGTTAAAACATGCCTCACATTTGAAACATGGTGATCAGATAACTTACCAAGAAACTACAATAATTAAAGTATATTATGTATTAGTTAAAATGTTAAAATACCTTCTGGTGTCCAGCTTATGTTATTTCGATCTACTCTGTATAAGTTATTATTGAGATAGCAGCAATTATCAATATGACAAGTGATCACAAACTTTTATGAGGCATTAATAGAACGTTTATGAATTTGCACTTTCTTCAGAATTTCTCTGCTTCTTTCAATGGTCTGGGAAATTATTCATATAAAATAACTATATGTTTGTTATTGCAAGCAATAACTGCAGCATCTAAGGGTTAAAATTGTTATTCTCTCCCTTCAGCCTTTATTAAAGGTTTTATAAACCAGCTGCATACAGTAGAGCCATGAAGCCCTGGTTGAGCTGTAAATAGATTAGTTTGGTCTGGCAGTAGAGTCCGGCGTGTGGAGTGTAGTTGTGTTGCCGGCCGGTGGGTCCTGCCTGTAAGCATGGAGGTAATCGTTATTGGCGTGTACGATTACCCTAATGGGCTAACCATCATTACCCTATTGCTGCCTCCGCGGTGAAAAGCACAAAGGTCTCTTTTGTGCTGCATGCCTATGTGTGTGTATGCGTTTCCCCTTGGTGTCTTTAGTGTTTAGTGTACAAGGCAAGCAGATGCACGGCAGAGAAGCTCGCTTGCTCGCATTTGTGCAAACAGATGTTAGACGCTTTCTCAAGGCCTGCCAGGGAGACGACGGCAAATTACCCAGCCGACGGCCTGCACACCACATTTCAGCCTGCAGCACACACTCTGTGTGTGTGTGTGTGTGTGTGTGTGTGTGTGTGTTTATACACAACAATATGCTTTGTCAGAATGAATAACTGTAGACTACGTGAATTCATGTTTGCGTGTCTGCACAGATGCACACATAATATTGAAACTGTTACTGGTGCTCAGAAAGCCTGCGTAATTCAGGGCCTCTGCATTTTGTCACATTTTGTAGCATTCTTTTCTCCTTATGCATTATTCCACACTAACGGCGGGCAATATGAAGATATGTTATCTTGATCAATACCGTCATGATGCGCTTCTCGGAGTCATCTTTATTTTTAAAACACTGAACAACTGTGTGTATCAGAAGAAAGACCAATTGTAGAGCATCTGTAAACAACAGCTAGTGTACAGTAACTGTGTATGTTTCATATTTCTTTTATTGTGGTGCTACATTTTTGTCCATCCCAACTTCCATACAGTCGCTCCAAAACATATTTGGACAGTTAAACCGTTTTGGTTAACTTTAATGTTGTTTAGGTTGCTTCATAAACAGCTCGACAAATTAATTATTATTTCAGAGAAAAACACTTTTAGCACAGTATCAAACTGATGGTAGACCCATTGTGTGGAGAAAACCTGGAGAAGAATTCCAACCAGACTGCACTAATGGTAAAGTAAAGCACAGAAGTGGAAACGTTAAAGTCTGTTTCTTATTTTCTTACAGTCGTGTCAGTGACTTTGTGTTCATTGATGGGATCATGAACTCAGAAGACATTTTGGACACAAACCTGTAGAAGTCTGCAGAGAAACTACTCAAATGAAAATACATTGCCAAAAAGAAATGACAGTCTTGAAATGGTCTGTTTAAAATAAATGCCACTTGGTTTAACATTTTGTTTCCTAAACTTAGGCTGTGTCCAAAACTGAAGGCAGCTGCTTTGCTGCCTGTGCTGTATCATAAGTCAGTGCCTTAGAAGGCACGTCAGTGCTTGAAGGTGCCTGAAGGTGATGAAGGTACCTGCAACAGAAGGGCATTTGAGACGCTGTTAGCGTTAGACATTATCTTTTACGCAAAAAAAGTCTTTTAAGACGCCTAGCATACTGAACTTTTTATAACCAAAATAAAGTGTTGTATTTGTACACAAACCAGTCTCTCTACTCTGTCAGTGCTGGTGTTTGCCGTTCTTTTTTCCTAACCACATTAGCGCTGACACACAGGATTATGGGATATTGAGCGAAAGAGATGTCCACTGCCTTCAAAAAAACGGCCAAACAGAGGAACCTCGGCAGGCAGTATTCGTTTTAGACATGACTGGGTATCTTCGTGCCTCAGAATAATCTATGAGGAGGCAGTGTTTGTTACGTTTCAAACACAGCCCTAATCTGTTTTTAGTATGGCACAAATGCCAAAACATTTTTTGGGGCCACTGTACACTGTGTTGTGAAAATGTCATGCCTTAAGCCAGACATGTAGTCACTTGTCCCCTCGCTCTCCTTCTCTTTCACTATGTCTCTCTCTCTCTCTCTTTGTCCTGCAGAAGTCCCACTCTGGTGAAGAACATGATATCTGGATTGGGCTTTGGCTCCCTGAATGCCAGCTACCAGGTGAGTGTGTGTTTGTCTCTACTGTCTATATCCCAGCTCTACACATACGTGTGAGCGCGCACTCTCAGGAGCGGGCTGGATCAAGCGCACAAGGGCACTGATATCAATTTCCTCCACTAATTAGCACATTCTCCCAAACCTCCTCTCTTCTCCTCCCCCAAACACACTAGCGCGCTCTCTCTCAGCCAGCCCGCCGTGATTTATAGCATCAAGTATTTGTCAATTAAGGTCACAGCATAAAATTAGTGTCTGTCCTAGAAAATCCATTTGAAAGCCACTGTGTCACGCCGCTTATTCCGCTCTGTGTTGCCTACTCAAAAAACCTCAACTGACTGTGTGGTACGTCACAGTGTGGATGGAGTGTGAGAGAGTGCGCTTCTTGCTGGTGTCTGTTTGTATGTGTGTGTGTAATTTTTTTTTTTTCTTGTGATTGTAGTCCTCTTGCTCTCATACCACTGTATTGTGTCCTTTCTAAGCTGCTGCTTTTGTTAGTTTGCTGCTCGTTGATTTATCCATAGTTCACCATCCAGTCTGCTGAAACCAAACTAAGTGCTAACGTTGCTGATAGTACTGATATGGCTGGCATCAGCATTATGATTTGCTTATTTGAGACTCGAAAGTGATAACCAAATTTACGGTATGCAAGTAGCAGGAGTCAGTCATAGCAACATACTACAGGCTGGAAGTACGGATGGTTTAAAGGGTCAAACTAATAAATGCATTAGAAACATTTACAAATTAGTGCCATTAATAGTTAATTGCATTAATGCATTATTAACACTTTATCTTTGACATCACCGGTGTTTCTCTGTCTAGAGTGTGTGTGCACACTTCTATCTGTCTGTGTATGTTTTTCCCACACACTGTGATAGAACAGAGATGGATCTGGGGGGTCGGCCTCTGTGTGCTCAGACTGTGTGTCAGCTCTGTGCTCATCCATCTCCTCACAGGACAAGCCATGTCAGCGCCTGACAAACAAACAGCCCAGCTAATCACAGCCACACACACACAAACACACACACACACACACATCTTCTTGGCCCAGTTTGTCCCTCACTGACCCTGCGGGCCATCACTATGGAAATGGGACCGCTCATCCTGAAAAGGCCACACATAAACAAACCTTTAACAAAAGAGCACACGCACACAGTGGTGCACAGAAACAGAGCAGCTTTTTTGGCAGAAATGTAGGCTTCATGCATATCTTTAAAAATTCTCGGAATAAAGTCATAACATTTATTTTAAAAATTTACGGTCATAAAATGTCTTAAAAACTCTTCTTTTAATTATTAGTGGTATGCCTAAAGATGATGCCTGAAGACCAGGCTGAAAAGAGTCATTATGTATATTAACTAATTCAGAAAAACAAAAATACCAGTTGCACCATCGTTAGAAACTGACCACTGTTTAAATAAAATAGACAATAAAAGGGAATTCTACCAATTTTCCAAAGCTTCTGCTAAAAGCAATTCATCGAAGTGAGGTAAATGCAAAATAGCACAAAGAAAACTTACTTATTTTGATTTACCACTTTTTTATCATTGTCAACAAAACTCAAAAGACATGTGGGTTCACTGGTCATTTTGGATAAAATGGTTATATTTCTGTCATAGACATCGCACCCCCTGATCTCTGTCACCCCCACATCAAAGAAATCCATAAAGAAGTTTTACATTAAAACATTCTGAATGACTGTTTACATCTCAGCTTTTGAATCTGCAGAAATTTAGAAAAACTGGTGGAATTCCACATATTTGAGGCTGTATGCACTGTTGTGTGGTGGCAATGCTAATATTTTTTATCTTGAGGTCTTAAAAAAGTATTAAAAAGAATTGAATTTGATTTCAAAAAATGTGCTGCAACCTTTTACTTTTTTATGCTGTTTTATAGTTTTGTTTCCTTTTTAATGAACTTTAGCAACAGTTGATTTCTCAAAACTAGAATTAGAATTACAATTAGAAAAAAGGTTATATAACTCGACTTTATCCTACCCAGTTTTGAAGCATTTCTATTATCACGAAAAAATGAAAAAACAGGTTTATGAGGTTTCTATATGACATAGATATTGTCTTGCTTTAATTTGAACTTTCAGAATTTTATAAAAACATTTTGCACTTCAGAATATCTGTATAAATACCGAGCTCACGCTCTGCCTTATGTCACTCGACACCTCTGACAAAAGATGAATTATTACAGTTATTTCAATTGATGTCACGTTATCAAATACATTATTAGATCCATGTGATACATTCCAGCGTGTCTGTATTTGCCATTTTCTAAAAGGGTGCGAGAGGTGATGTTAGTTTGTTATATTTTGAGGGCAAAAACGGTTTCCTTTTTGGCACCCATTAGTTTCAATTAACCCCGGTCTGACCCAGTTTAGATCCACCACCTCTGCTCTGTCCCTGTGAAAATGAAATGAGTGCCTATTCTCCCTCTCTCTCTAACTCTCTCTAACTCTCTCTCTCTCTCTCTCTCTCTCTCTCTCTCTCTCTCTCTCTCTCTCTCTCTCTGTCTCTCTCTCTCTCTCTCTCTCTCTCTGCGGCACATTTTGGCAAGTCCCGGCCGTTTCGGTTGGCACAAAACCGCACATAAAATTCTCGGCTCGGCTCATTCTGAAGTTGAGTGCGGCAAAACTGCAGACACTGACCAGGACTCCTTCTCCTTTCCACCTTCCTTCAAGCATTAAAATGTCAATATGTATTTCTTTTGACTCCCAACCATCACTTTTCACTTCCCCTGTATAAACTCCTGCTTTTTACATTTATTTAAGAACTAGCAGAGTAGGAAAAGTTCAGTTTAGTTTTATTGTGTGATTTCAGCAAATTGTGAATACAGTTTTACACAGCCAAGGCCAACATTTATTACGCCACATAGATATTTTTAAAATAGCTTTATCTTCTTCAGAATTAGGTAAAAAAAAATGTGTAGACAAGAAGAAATAAAAAAAAAAGTTAAGGCAAAAATATTTTGCTTTTTTAGCATAATTTTAAAAAAATAAATACACTACATAGGGCAGTGAATGCGTTCCTACAGTCGTCTGTGAGCGGAGGAAAAATGCAAGGCAATTTGAGAGAGAGGCTCTAGAGCTGTTGTGTGGAGGCAAGGGGACCCCTAGTGGTGACACGCACCAACCTACAACTCCTACAAGCCCATGTGCTTGTGGATTTCCCAAACATGCTTCATAGACTGTCTTAACATGGGTAGTTTATACATTAATATCATGAGCCAGTTGTCTTGCTCAGGACCCTGCTTAAAATAATCAATATACGACACTCTATATTCCCAGATTTCTTCTGAAAAAAAAGATTGGAATGTAAACTGGATTCCATGGCATGATATGATTGTCGTGATCTGCACATGTGACTAACTGAAAATTTCATAGCTAGCTACTTTTAGTCAAACTTGCAGCATACTGTTAAAGAGATATTTACAGATTGTAGCCTAAATTTACTAAATATGTACAAGCAAGGTTCGAGATCGGTGGAGATCCAATCTGGGAGATGTCAGATCTGGATCCATCGTGTTCCAGCGCAAATAAAGACATGCTTAACTGGATCCACCCGGATCATCACTGATACAGCACAGTAACATCAAGTGTTGCATGACACAAATGTGAATGAATGGTGAAATGCCCCCCCAGTTGTTGACCTGTTTGCTGATTCAGCCTCAGAGGCAGTGCAAGGTTTAAAATCATGGAGCAGAAGTTAAAAAGATGATGTTCAGGCCTGTATGTGGATGACTACAGTGTGGTCACACCCTGGCCATGTCATAAACCAGTCCAGCTGTATGCTCGTCTCTTGCTGCTGCAAGTTGGTACCTGAGCACAGATGGCTTCACCTGCCTCGTAGATTTAATATGGCCGTAAATCCACTATAAACTCTAAAATTCCAAACTAAAATTCCTCACTCCTGCAACTACATACCTTACATAGTAGATTAATATCTGAATAAAGACCTTGAGTTTCAGGGGTTAATGGTCTCTCTTTTTCACTGCACCCTCTAACATACACGGACACTCAAGGCTTAGCCCACCTTGAGCCCGTTTATCATCAGCAAAGTTTTTATCAGTGAAGCACTGGCTGCTTGACACTGTATAAACAGCTGTGCCTGGCAAAAGAGCCATTGTTTTTGGTACCATTCAAGCACCAGATGGAATGATCTACTTTCACCCTCCAATACTGCCAACACCCAGCTATCTCTGTATATATTACTTTAAAAAATGACTGCTGTGATCTTCACTGATGAGTGTGAATGTGTGTGCATATGCAGGCAGCGCTGGCGGAGAGCAGTTTGAGCCTCTTGAACAGCCCCACCCTGGTGAACAACAGCACGGGCGCCAGCCTCAACATGCTGCATGTGGGCCATGACGATGTGAGCAGCACTGTGGAGCAGGTGAACAGCAACGGCAGCTGCAGCCCCGGCCTGTCCCCACAACAATACGGGTATGACACGTCAGCTACAAAGAAACATGTCTAAATTTAAGCTGCACTACTACTTTCGTTGCAGATGCAAGTATACAACCATCCTAATATGATGTTATTATTTTAGGAAATTAACAATTTGAGATGTGTCATTTGCATAGTGATTATATGTAATACGTTGTTAGTACCCTACAAGATGTATCAAATAATAAACAAAATTATGTAAAAATAATGTAAAAAATAAGAAGAATAAAAAAAATAAGAGAGACATTTCCATAATGATTAATATATCTATACATGGTTCCATAATAACACATTTTCAATGCCTCATAATTGAAAACTGATGATCAAATCTGGAAATAATACAAAATTACTTTAAATGGATAATTCGCTAGTACTTCTTGTTGTTTCACGAAGTTTAGAATATTTAATAAAAAATAAATAATAAATATTTCTCAAGTTGTGATGGAATGACAAGTGATTCCAAACTTTTGAACAGTAGGATATTCTTGCCCGCATTACTTCTAGCGTATTAGTATTTGTATATAACGGAAATACAAATAATATTTTCAAAATGCACTGCATTAGTAACATGTCAGTGGATTGATTTGCTCTGTATGTATATGTTCTGCCTCAGACACCAGGTCCATGTGAAGGAGGAACCGGCTGAGATGGAGGAGGACAGCAGGCCCGTGTCTCTGATGGCATCTGTCACTCAAAACTTGAGCATGCCTGTTGACGAGCGTGACATGGATGAGGAGCTTCCCACCGAGGAACTGGAGTAAGAGGAGGGAGGAAGTGGGTGGAGCCAGGAGGCCCTGCCACTGGTTCTTGCGCAAAGGTGTAAAGTTAATAATGACCACAGACAAGCGAGGAAAACAAAGAGAGATGATACAGAACCAACTACAATGTCAAGAAACCAAAACAGGGTTAGACCTCATCGCTTCATAATGCAAAAACACGGAACATGCGTTTTGTTCTCATTTTTTTCCTTCTCTACATTTCTTCACTAAGAAACGTGTTTTAAACTCCGAGAGACAATTTTTAAGTCATTAAGTCATCCAGAACCAGCCGCTGATGTATTTTGGACTGGTAACAGATGCGGTGAGTGTTGGATCCCTATTGAAAACTGTTGAGGGGAAACCCCCGAAGTTCAGTGTACACACAGGTTGTGTGTATCTGCAGGCAAACACATCACGAGTCCCCCGAGGCATCTCTCTCTCTCTATCAGCTTTACTTTATTTTTTTATTTTATTTTTTTTTGCCTGAGAACACTGCTATGCTTTGGGCTAAACTACAGCTGTGGTTTACCTCAGAATGATGCTCAAAGGAGAAGACAGCAGAAACATCTTCAGAATGACCTTTCTGTCCTTGTTATTATGGGTTCTATCAGGGGGTCATATGGCTTTGTTGCTCCTTTTCCAGAACGCAAAAAGGGCCGATGCACGGCCGTTTGACCGAATGACTGCCTCTGTTGTACGCTGACACCTGACCCTAACGTTACCGGACTCGAGGAAGAAGAAGAGGGGACGTTTCCTGTCTTGGAGCAGTTTTAACCTTTCGTGCTCGGACACTGACTGGCCCGTTCTCTGTCGCCGTCTGATGTCGCTGCCTGATATCTGATGATATCAGCAAGCTGGGGAAAAAAAAAGCAGCTAGAACATTTCTCTCTCTCTTTCTCTCACTCTCTTTCTCTGTCTGCTTTTGTTAGACCAATAAAAAAAGAAGAAATCGTTCCCAAAAAAAAGGCATATTTTCAGGAAAAAGAAGCAGGACCAACTGGTGCTGGATTTACAGCGGAACAGCAGGAGGCTCATAGAAAATGACTGTACTGTTGATTGAAATGTGTGAGGTAGCTTTTGACTCTCTTTTATTTCATATTCATAGTCAGCTATTTCTGAAAAGGATCAACATTTTACATTGTGATGTACTTCAGTTATAGATGTGTCTCATCGAGTATTATATATACATTTTTTATTGAATCATTCTGTCATCATTCCAGACGGGCTGGATTTTGAGAGGATATCGATAATCCTTCCTTCAGACTTTACCATGATGCCCTATTACTTGCTCCACTCTGTTGGATCGTCAAGGTAGAGGGAAGCAAGACCACAAATGAAATCAGTCTACACATAGCAAGGAGACAACTGAAGATACACACTCCCATAGCAAAGAAGGTAGAGAAGGTTTAATAGCAGAGAGATGGGCTAGATTAAAGTGGGTCACACAGTGCAGGTTCCCTGAACGTTCCTGGACTAACCCTACAGGCACTCATTCCTTTTTTATTTACATCATGTATTAGGTTGTTTTTTTTTTTAAGAAATATCTTTTTATTAGTGGGTGAACATCAGCTGTGATACAAAGTATTGCTTTAACGGAAAAAAAAACGTTGCGGTCACGGAATACCTCATACCACGGTGTTTCCTCTGAGCTCTGTTACGAGGAGGATCCTTGCTGTGGCTAGCCAACATAGTGACTCTCTCCATTTCAGCTTCAAAGATCTATAGTATCTAGATATATGAAAGCTATCTGCAATTCACTGTGTGAGTTGAAAAGTGTCTCGTTCGCATGTGAGATTTTAAAACTTAGCTTTTTCTTTCAGTGAACTTAAAAAGAAAAAACAACAAAAACAGCATAATCCTTCTCAGCAGTGCCATGCCAAATTCTACTAAGTTTTAATTAATTTTTTTCCTCCCCTTTTTGCTTTTGTTACAGGTTACCAAAGAGATTTGTAGTAAACCAAAAACCCTCCATCTTTTAATTTCTTCTTTTCTTTCTTCCTAAATAACTGGCCAAAAGAACAGTCATTTCTTAATTTAATGTTTAGTTTTTGTTCTGTTTTTTCTTTTTTTTAGCTTGAAGTAATTTGTTTATAACTTACAGTACAGAGCATTCCAAAAACCAAAGTGTGAGATGCAAAAGAGAATTTGTTGGTTTAAGGAGAAAAAAACTGTTTAAGTATATGTTAAGTGAATGAGTTAAAACTATGTACGGTATGAGGCCAAAAACAGTATTAACAAGCCTCTTGCAGTTCCTTAGATAATAAAATAAAGCACTTAATGTAGGAAAAAAAAAGCTCTACCCTCTCGTGCTCAGGCAATGGCAGTGTTAAGAACACAACCTTAGAAAAACGCCTCAAGGTCTAAGATTGCAAATAATGCTTTTACATGCATAAGGCACTTGAATGACAGTGAAACACTTTCATTTGACACTAGAAGCCAGCAGCAAATACTCAGTGTTCCTGTGTTCATTAGATATGATTTCCTTAAATGAAGTGTTTATCAATACTTCAAAATACACTTCAGTTTGACAAATACCAAAAAGAACAGGCGAGCATTTCACGAAAACAACAAAAAAATGATCTCTTCATCCAACGCATTTTCACCAAATCCACTAATTTTCTATTGTTTGAGATTCAATTAACGTTTATGTGATGATTTTTATTAGCGCTAAAAGAGTCTTTTGAAAATTATTGTTTGAAAGATTAACGCTCATCTACAAAGCGCACCATTCGCTAAACAAGTAAGGGATGACTGACAGGAATGAAAACATTTCAGAAACGACAGACGAAACGCGTTTGAGCAATGATTTAAACAATGATTGCACTTCAAACTGCGTTTGATCCGGGAGGGACGTTTTTAAACAGTACACAGTCTTTTTGTCTTTTTTTTTTCTGCTTTAAGAGAGGTTTAAACACACCTGGTTTAGGAACGGACACATGTTTCTTACACTTAAAAAAAATAAATAAATAAATAGAGACCAAAAATGTTGCTACCTCCTTTTGAAAATAGTCCACAAAAACAAAAAAGGCCAATGAAAGACACTCATAGTCATGTTCACGGTGTAGTTTTCTCATTCATCCTCCAAACCCAGTTGAGAACCAAAATATGCTTTATTGATGCATACTTGTGAACAAAGCTCGCCTGGCTTATCTTTGAGTCCAAATTCATTAGCATGAATGAAAACAAGCAAACGACACACACAACACGCTGGGGAAAAAAATAGAAATGACTACCTCTCCCCTCTTCAAAAAAAAAAAAAATGCTGACTCTTGTTAAGTGCAAAGCATTAAAGTGGTCAACATATTGAAAAAGGTCTACTCCAAATTGCATATTCGCCATCTTTAAGTGATCTATTAGCATAGTGTCTATGTACAGGTCCTCTGTGCGGAGGCTTAATTGTGTGTTCTAATTCCGCATGCATAATGAGGGGCCAGGCCCCGCTTTAAGCCAATGAAACGGCCGGTCATTAGAGTGCGCTCAATGGGGCAGTCAGTTGGGTGTCAGAAACGATGATAGGCAGAATGCATTAGCGCAGGCCTCTCTCTCTCTCTCTCTCTCTCTCTCTCTCTCTCTCTCAAATGGCCCCCGCTTTCCAATTAATGCAGAGTGTAGCTTTGTGACGGCTTTGGGTGGAGAGAGAAGTGGGGGGGGGCGTTGTGGAGAAGGGAAAGAAAAAAGAAAAAAGCACGGACGCACGCACGGAAAATCACACTCGAGTGATCGTGGTGCTCTGACTAGCGGTGACTAACACAGTGGGTCTTTTATTCATACTGTAGATCACTCAAAGATCATTCCGATACAAGACAAGCAACAGGCTTAGCTGCAGAGAAGCACTATGTGACTAGTGCTAGTGAAATAAAACCAAAATATCCAAAGAAAAGTGCTTGTACATGCTAAAAAAAAGAAACAGATGGATATAATGACGATAACAAAGCATATAAATATGGATTTTTTTACTGAATCTCTCAGTAATAAAGGAACTGCTGCATTCACTAAATAAAAATGTCAATTGTGCTTTAAGGTACAACCTGTAAACAAAGTTGTTTTATAAGGTGTAGACTGACATACGTCAATGGTATTAGCGATCACCATAACACTTTGGTTACTCTTACAATCTTGTTGTAATGATGTATTATTGTATATTACCGCTCGGCTTTGCTCTCAAGGGCATTTTTTCCCCCCGATTCTTTATTTTTTCTTTTTTTTCTACATAGTTTATTTTGATTTTCTACACTTGTCTAGCTATTGTAAAGCTTTGAGCTTCAGAATTCCTATACTGTATTGCTTATGCTGAAGTGTATGTATTTATCATATTATGTGTTGCAGGTATCACGGTTAAATAGGTTTCGTTTTGTTTTGTTTTATTTTTGTTTCCTCTCTTTTTTTCATTTTGTCTTCATAAAACGTCTGGGACGATGATTTTTTTTAAGTGTATCTCAAAAAAAAAGAATAAAAAAAGATTAAAAGTTAGATAAGTGGTTTAGGTAAACACCTGTTTGTATATTTATCTTAGTTAGGTCTATTTTGATACTTTTTGTCTCTGTATTGCATTTATGCATTTTTAAGGAAAAAAAAATGAGAGAAAACAAAAAACTAAAAAAGTTGAACTCGTTGTGTAATGATACCTCAGAAGGACTTTTTCTTAAAAAAGACAGGACCAAAACCTCACAAGGAGAAAGAGGAAAAAAAACAGACCTGAAGAAAAATATGTAGCCCTCTCTTGCTTTTAAAGAAGAGCAACTTTGAGGTGTTTATTTGTGGGTCCTTTTTAGGTGCCAATATGTGTGTACAGACTCCCTTTAAACCGAATCATTCCTGTAGTTATCATAACCGTGTAGCCGTCTCTCACCCGGCAGTGGCGCTTTAGTTCCGTTTTGTTGGCTCTTAGCCCGGCAGGCTTGGTGGGAAAGGCACTCGTTAGCTTAATTGGCATTAACAGTGCGGTAATTAAAAATAAGCTGATGCAGTGTCCGCTGTTTTACTGGCTTACTCACTCTTTTGTTGCATGGAGAGCCATTGAAAACGTGTCTTTAACACAATGGCATCATGATTTCAGTCATTGTTTCTTCTCTCAGAGAGAGGTTAGATCCACAGACGCTGATTACCTTTATTTATACTTTTATGTTTTCTTTTTTGCATAGAATTTTGAGACTTTTCCTCAGCAGCGTACCAAATAAGAGTCCCGCAAAGGCTTTCAGAATTGCAGTTCATCTTCTTTGTCTGCCAAAGGGGTTGTGTGTAGATTTCTTTGCTCCAAATTGGTGAAATCCACCACAGCTGGAACCAAACTAAGACATAATGAAGGTGAAACAGCAGCGTTTCAGCACAAATGTGCTTTCTCCAATTCCTTCGTTTCCACTATACGACTTTTTAACTGTCACAGAGCAGCAAGCACTGCCTTCATCCAGCCCTGTGATTGGCCTAAAGCGCCACTGCCCTTTGATTGACAGCTCCAAGGTGACGTTTGTCCAGGAAAGGGATCCTTGCAGGGGAGCTTAGCCTGATGGTATTAACTTCTTTGGCCAATCGAATGGAACTACCACTTCAGCTCTCCTTTTCATTGCATCTTAAGAATGTGTGTACATTTTTCAGCAGTGACTTCTATGTACTTAGTTTATTATATATATAAATATATATTTTTTGTTTACTTTTTTTTTGGTTTTAACTTTCAAATGAGACTTTGGGGAAAGAATAGGTGGTGGTTCTGAGATGGTATAGAAAAAAAAAGGCAACTAGCCATCCACCATTATTGTTTTTACCCCGGGGTGACCATGTTTATGCCAGTCACTGCCATTTTTTCTTCATGCTGTATAAAAAACACATATATCTGTGTATTTGTAACCTGAATCTTCTTGTGTCTGCCCATGCAGACAATAAAAAAAACTGTACAGTAGTTCTAGTTGCATGTAATCTGTACTAATTATTGACAATGGCATTATAAAATGCAATAAAATACTTATTACACTGTCCTCTGGGCCTGGTTTGTGTGCTCCTTTTCAAATTATGTCGAGTTCACTGTGCAGCAAAATTATTAGTGTGTTCACAGCTGAATTGACAGAGACAAATACATACAATATACACCCTTAAAAAATGATTTTCCAGGGGTCTTTAGCAAAGAAGAATAGCAAAGAAAATTGTTCTATATAGAACCATGAACACTCAAAAAACCTTTTGCATGATTAAAGAGTTCTTTGCAGCATGAAAGCGTTCTTCACATTGATAGAGAATGTGCTATAGATGAAAAGGGTTATCTATAGCACCCAAAAAGGGTTCTTGCATTGTTAGAAGCTTGACATCATAACAATAGAAGAACTTTTTGAGTGCTATATAGAATCATTTCAAAAAGGTTCTGCATAGAGCTATATACAACACATTCTCCATTTCACCATGCAAATGGCTCTTTGAGTGTTCATATTGTCTCTTTTAGAACCATTAAAGAACCATCTTTTTAAAGAACTATATTTAATAGTCATATATAATATAATCTATAACAAATTAGATATGTAAGAACTATAGTGCAAATGAAGCAGGGTTGTCACTATCAAGTAATCTATTGTTGCATGCAAAAGTTTAAACAACCCTGGTCAAATTATGTTTTGTTCATTTGTTCAAGTGAAATATTTTTTTTTCATTTGTTTTATTTTTTTATGGCCGAAGATTAAAAAATTAAGACTTAACTGAATAATAACAAACCATGTATAGCATTTCAAGATAAACCAGTAAAAACCCTGTGACAAAATACATCAGATACATATTGTGCAAATGGTCAATTTATCAATGGTGATTTAATGAAAAGCTAAAGTTCAATAGATTAATTAAAAATAATAATATGCTTCAATTCTAAAACACTTTCCTGGAAAATGTAAAGAAAAATAAATAATGAATGAAAATAATAATTAAAAACCTCATGTCAAATAATCCACATATATAGCCTAGTTTTAGTCTATTTCAAATGTGCATTATAATCATGCAAATTGCTAATAACGATTCAACTGGATGGTATTCTAATATATTTTTTATCAATTATTCGAGTAACTGTGACGTCCCTAAAATAAACCTACAAATATTGAAAATATAAAAGTACAAAATACAAATGGACAGGTGTAATGTAAAATCTGTCACAGTTGGGTAAATTTAGAGTAGGGCAATGTGGACATTTAGTCTGAAGCAAACTTTTTGGGGGAATTTGCAGGACAAACATAAGTCGAGGTGTGAGAGCTGCTCATGTAGACCCTGCTGGACTTAGTGACAGCCATATGTTATCAGCTGTGTCTCTTTTTCTCTCTCTTTTTCTTCACAGCTGCAGAAAGCCTTGCATTGTGTGCGAAGGCAGAAAAATGTGCTCTCAATTAGGAGTGTGAGAAGGAAGGAGGAGTCTCACTTTAAAAAACAAGGGGAGAAAAAAAGAAAGAAAATAGCATTAGACGTGACACTTGGCCGCATCGAGTTTGGCACGAGCAAATGATCGGACCCGAAAGCCGGGGCCTCTGCTGCGGGGCCTCCGGAAATGTCTGCATAGCACTTGCCATTCAGGAACGATCTGAACTGGCTGGTGTAGAAAAGGAAGCGGTGTGGGGGGAAGGTGGGGAAGGGGGATTGTGGGCTGGTGCATTTTGACAGCGGCTTTTTTGGGGAGGAACATTTGGGGGGTAAACATCTGGAGAGAGCAAAGGGGGTGGGGGGTGTCTTATAATAACACTAATCCCGAAGACTGGCTGAAGTCTGCCTGAAATAGGCCTCCATGCCTGCTCACTGCAGAAATGACAGTAATAAAGTAATGTTTACAAGGGCGCTTTTGTCTAAGAGCATCAAGTTAATGACAGTTATTTGCCTCTGCTTTTACTTTTAGAACTAGTGGTCCTTCGCACACTTCACACTTTTCTTACAGATACTACGCAGTCTGAGCTGCAGCCAGTGACCCTCATCTCAAGGGGCAGAGATCGGCTAGCAGATGAAAGCAAGCGTTATACTGTTAACAGCACAGAACTTGTGATGTGATGCATTGAATTGATGTACGTCATTTTTCACATCAATGTAATTTGGAAAAATGCATTTAGAAAACCTTATCTTAAAATAATCATAAAACAATGTCTCAGGCATCACAGCATATTCGTAACCATTAGCCCAATAACTAACTCTTTACATCTGATCGACTTAATTATGCAGAAATTAAAAAAAAAAAATCAGTAAAATTCCTCTATAATGTAGAAATTATGTACATTTGAATCAAAAAAATGCCTTAGCATTTTTGGTGCATTTAGTCTGGAGCCATTTATTAAAGTGAAATTACACTGATTTTTCAAAAGTTCTACATAATTATATCATGTAAGATGTAAACAAAGTCATTCAGAGTGGTTTGATGTGAAATGTGTGGTGGTGATAGGAACCAAAACTCCCCAAACTCCCTCAAATCTTCTGAGTTTTTATATGTAACGTTGATAATGATACCTAAGAGTAAAATAATGGAAATAAAAAAAAATTTCTTTGGCAATTCTTTGACATTAGAATGTCCTGCGTGGAAAACTGTGCCAGAAATAGCTTGTACAACATATGTTTTTTTGGCCAAAGCCTTCTCTCGAAACTATCATAAAACAACGGCATCAGGTATCAACATCAGTGTATTCATAACCATTTCATGTAATAAGTTTCTGTGAGGGAGCTTTTAGAGACATTAAATGTGTCTGGTTCCTATCACCACCACTGTAAACAATTCTGATTTGTTAAGGTTTTCTACAATAGAGCATTTCACATCAAGCCACTGTGAATGAATTTACATCTTTGAATTACACATACAATTTGAAGAATCGTTGAAATTTCCCTTTTAGGTACATCTAGAACAGTGGACAAAGTACCTAACTTGTAAAATTATTATTTGAGTAAAAGTCTTGTATCTATATTTGTACATGCATTAAAGTACAAAACTATTTGTTTTTAAATGTTCTCAGGTATAAAAAATAATATATATAACTATTATATCATTTTAATGAAGAGACTGCAGACATGCAAAACAGTTACAATTAGGCCAACATTCCTGCTTATTTAAAAACTGCATGAATCAGAAACAGATTATATTCACATATTACAGCATATGGCTCATTTCTGAAAGCTTGTCAGAGGAGCCCATGCCTGGTTACAGTTGCTAAGCTACTATAGGAGAAGATTTTATGCTTTTATTCTTTTTATACATCAAGATTTTATACTTCAATTCTTCTGCACTCTTACGCTGTCTTATATTTACTTGTATATAGTCATTTCATCATGAGAGAACTTTTGTAATGTGTGTGAAGCTGTGATTCTTCTCTTTTTTAATTTCTGTTCTTACTGAATTAAAGCCTTATAGTTTGGGTTCAAATTAGGACAGAAATGAAGCTTGTTTTCAAAAGGGTCAGTTGGAGCCAGCTGTGTCTGAGATAAGACAGCTTTTGGCCTTGAACAGCCAACAGGTCTGATAGATTCTTAGCAACATGGAAGAAAACACGTTTCTAAACAGAAACGGTATGTTCAGTCTTCAATATACATGCTAATTATATATTCGGCCAATGAGAGATTCTTAAAATATAATCAGCCAATGAGAAGACAATTATTTAAAATATTGCATTAGGAATGTTTGGTTTAAAAACCTACGTATAATCTCTCATTTTTATGAGAATACCATGCAGAACTGGGCAGTGAGGCTTCTCCCCTTGGCCAAGCTTGAGAATAATAAAAGATTGATTTTATTTCCCATCTGTTCTTCTCTCTTTGATAAAGTGAATTTGAAACGATATCAGGGCTCTGTACTGATATCACATGACCGTGTATATCAGGCAATCAAAGATTCGAAATTCAAGATTTATTTATTTACACAGCGTTTTTTGCTATAGTCGTTGTCGCAAAGCAGCTGTACAGAAAAAAAAATTTGGGTCCGAGCCCCCATGAGCAAGCCAGTGGCGACAGTGTCAAGAAAAAAACCCTCAAAAGGGACTCATCCTCCTCTGGTCAACACTGGATAGCAAAACAATAACATAACCAGAGTAATATGAATAAAGAAAGAAGAACTGACAATGACAGTCTACAATAGTGAGTACAGAATAATGAGCCTGTCATTGGACAGAAGTATTCAGATTAACCAGTAATAACCGATGACTGCTGTTAGAGGCTTATCAGAGAATCAATGAGAAATAGAACTATGGAAACCAACGACTACTGTTAGAAGCACGTTAGTATGAACACGTGAAGAGCTCAGTATATTGTGAGGCAGGTGAACAATGTCTTTGATAGGATAAGAGGTAGATCTTGGAACAGCATCAGACCAGACAGGATGGGCAGTTGTCCAGTTCAACTATCAGAGCTTTGATACTTGGAGGGATTATGTTATGATCTATTTAAACCATCATGACCTATTTAAAGGCATCAGTTGACATAGTAATAAGCTAAATATATACAAAATCATCATTAATAGGGTACTTTTTGTAGTGAGGCAGCTGACCCAAACCCTAACCCCTAAATGTCAGCTTGAGCAAATAATACTTTTTACCAATTTTGTTTTTTTTTATCTTTTGTTTCTTTTAAACTGATGTTGAAAGATTTATATTTGTCATAAGTTTAATTTTGAAATATTAAAAAAAAAAAAATGCTGTCCCTTGCTTGCATGTCACTACCAAAACACAGAGCTTTAGTCCATAGGTGGAGGCTATTTTAGCCACACCCCTGCATTTTAGAGCAGGAGGTGAGACTGCATGGCTGCCCCTAATAGCCACATGGTGAGCAGTTAGATCCCATTGTTTTGAAGTAAATGTGTCCCTAAGTCTGAAAATCAGTGTGTAACATGATGTGTTGTCACTACTGCAACACATATTTTCTTTTTTGTTTTTTAATGAAATATATTATGATTTTATGTGTGTACAACTGTTCAAAGCTGTGTTTGCTAGTCATGTACTGGCTAGCATTTATGCTCAAAATTAGCTAAAATGGTCACTACTGAAACATT